TAGATTAAAATTAAACCAGACAGATTTTAAGATTCTAACACAGCAGGAGACATTTTGAATATTTTGTCTGAAAAAAATTGTAGGATGCACAATAAAATCATTTTGAGAGAAACAGGAGTTGATTTAACTAGCATTGTCACCTCATATTGTCCAATCTCCTGTTCCCAGTCTTGATGCCGTTTCAAGCGCTTGGAACTTCCACAGAAAATTCCAACTTTAAAATCAGTAGAGTCTGCTATAACCTTTGCTTGCTATACATAAACAAAAAATAGACTTCAGAATCCACATGATGTGGAATTGACCGACATAATAAAACTAAAATTTGGTGAAAGATTAACACAAGAACAAATCAATTCGTCCAATAATTATATTTATCTAATAGAATAAGAATAGCAGCTCACCTGATGAACTAAAGCAACAGTAGGGGCAAGAAAGACACATATGTTCTTCTGCGGTTTACGAATCAAATGACCCATTTCATGCATAAGAAGCACAGCAATATGAGTTTTCCCACACCCTGTCCCTAAATATACAATTATATTTTCCTCCATAGCTTTTTTGCACAACTCCAACTGATACCTTCCAAAAGAAAAAGTATTCATAAGACTCTTGGAGTCTCAGAAGCAAGTGACAAGCACAGTCAAAACCACTCTTCAGACATTGATCATCATGCATTAACTTAATAGTCCAAGAGAACAATTACTTTTCAAAATAAAATGCTCTGATGAAAAGTCCATAGAAACAAGAAGTTAACACTGCATAAACAATAAAACTTGCTGACTCAATTAAATAGTCACATTTCTAGTAAGAATCTTGAAAATGAGTTTTTCTTTACTTTACTCTATTTCTCATCAACCAAACAAAAATAACCAACTCACCACAACAGTAAACACCGCCATGCAATAACGATCAACCCCACATAATCTAAAGAACTAAACCCCACTAACCCACTTGAAGAATAAACATGTCCTGCGAAGAAGATAATAATAAAAAGAAAGGGGTGGCGAAAGATACTTACTTTCTTGCAATTTTCCGGGGATCTTTCTTNGTGAAAGGAAAAGTGAAAGTGTGAGAGAATTGAGATTAGGGTTTTAAAAAATAAAAAGTAAAATTGGTAAAAGTAAAAAGTAAAAAAGGTAAATTTGGAATTTAAAAAAAATTGGGGAGGTGGAGGGAGAAGATGGGGTGGTGGAGGGAGCATCACTCTAAAAAGAATGGGGCATAAGAATGTGTATAAAAAAAAAATACAGAGAGATGGGCCAAAACCCGTTAATAACATAAAATATAATAAATTGAATGGGGAATATTTAACAGATACTATTTCAGAAAATTTGTTTCTAATATTATTCATAGAGGAGCAATTGCTCTTAATTAGAATACAAAGACTTAATAACTGAAAATTCAAGTTTGTTATGAATATAATCTATTCCAACAATTCATGATCAATGATCCTATACCATAACTATAAAATATATTGTTAGCCTATTAATATACCAAATTATGGAATATAATTACATCTCCATAATTAAAATTGTAGAAGGAAATATTAATTATAATGTTGGTGACAAATTTCCTTTCCCCATCCCACCTTTTTCCTTTTGTTTATTTTTTTTATAGTGTGTTGAAGTTAGCCATTTGGAATCAAAAAAGTGTTTCACTTGGTGTCTTTCCTGTATAACACTTTTCAGAAATAAGCAGTTATCTTTAACCGAAAAAACTTCCCCAAACATCCAAATTATTAATGCTAGCATCAATTTTATATATTCCGTACATTTTTGTTTCATTAGGGGGATCTGGAGGGAATGGAAGGTGGTTTATAATTTTTGGATTGCACAAACAAAGTTGTCCAAAGATTTTATTTTATCTTTCATCCAAAAACAATAAATTTTGGCTACTCTACCTAATGAACCAAACAAAGTGACATTTTCCACTCCATCCCTTAAACCATAGAAAACAAGCAGACCTCTCTTCCTCTCCCACCCCTTCCCTCCTTAAAATCATATGCAAAGACCTCAGATTGAAGTCATCACAAACTGTCCCTCCATAACTAAAGGACAAGTTTCCACAAGGGTGGGCTTTTGTGAGTGTAACTTCCACTCACTTCTAAACAGTTAATTAATTGTTTCAGTTTGGTTTCTCACTGGTGTGTCTGTTACAAGCCAAGGGATGGGAAGACCCGTGTAGATGAGTAAATTTTGTATCAATTTTGAATATCTTAGAAGGGGATAATGAAACCCAGGATGTCCTATACAATATTAAAGATAACTTCACATTTTAGGGATCTTATCTGTTTAGGAACCTTATCTTATTAACATTTCTAGTAAGTTGTTTGTTCTTTATTTGATTAGAGGTAGGAGCCTAATGCTCAGTTTAATTTCTGTGCTCTATATTTTGCATCACAGGACACCATAATACATCATATCAATTCAATTTTAAAAATCTATTCTCTATTTTCCTCCCTTTTTACAAAAATCCTGTAATTTAACAATATTGAAAGGTAATTAAGACTGGCAAATATTTGGGCTCTTATCGACACTATTTTTTTAAATTAAAAATTGTCATATTACCTTTTCCGACAACAGGGGATGCCGTCATGCCAAATATACGAGGAACCTTTGAAGAATTACTATTGTAGAAAATCTGACAGATTGTCAAACTAAATATTGTCAAAAAAAAAATTACGGAAATGGAGAGATTTTATGGAGAAAATTGTGTAGCTCCATTTTGAATATTGAGTTGTGCATAAGTACAGCATACTTTCATGATTACTGCATAAGCATGGTTGCTTTTGACTTGAGCATGATGACATTCATCAAATATCAAAAGTGCAATCATTTCCATCATGATGAAACAATGAGATAAGTTGTGCACTAATATTTGTGGGGTCATAACAAGAACCTGAAGGGGAAAAAAAAACATGAGGTGCAATTTTAAAAACTAGAAACTCCACTAGATTAAAATTAAACCAGACAGATTTTAAGATTCTAACACAGCAGGAGACATTTTGAATATTTTGTCTGAAAAAAATTGTAGGATGCACAATAAAATCATTTTGAGAGAAACAGGAGTTGATTTAACTAGCATTGTCACCTCATATTGTCCAATCTCCTGTTCCCAGTCTTGATGCCGTTTCAAGCGCTTGGAACTTCCACAGAAAATTCCAACTTTAAAATCAGTAGAGTCTGCTATAACCTTTGCTTGCTATACATAAACAAAAAATAGACTTCAGAATCCACATGATGTGGAATTGACCGACATAATAAAACTAAAATTTGGTGAAAGATTAACACAAGAACAAATCAATTCGTCCAATAATTATATTTATCTAATAGAATAAGAATAGCAGCTCACCTGATGAACTAAAGCAACAGTAGGGGCAAGAAAGACACATATGTTCTTCTGCGGTTTACGAATCAAATGACCCATTTCATGCATAAGAAGCACAGCAATATGAGTTTTCCCACACCCTGTCCCTAAATATACAATTATATTTTCCTCCATAGCTTTTTTGCACAACTCCAACTGATACCTTCCAAAAGAAAAAGTATTCATAAGACTCTTGGAGTCTCAGAAGCAAGTGACAAGCACAGTCAAAACCACTCTTCAGACATTGATCATCATGCATTAACTTAATAGTCCAAGAGAACAATTACTTTTCAAAATAAAATGCTCGGATGAAAAGTCCAGAGAAACAAGAAGTTAACACTGCATAAACAATAAAACTTGCTGACTCAATTAAATAGTCACATTTCTAGTAAGAATCTTGAAAATGAGTTTTTCTTTACTTTACTCTATTTCTCATCAACCAAACAAAAATAACCAACTCACCACAACAGTAAACACCGCCATGCAATAACGATCAACCCCACATAATCTAAAGAACTAAACCCCACTAACCCACTTGAAGAATAAACATGTCCTGCGAAGAAGATAATAATAAAAAGAAAGGGGTGGCGAAAGATACTTACTTTCTTGCAATTTTCCGGGGATCTTTCTTGACTGCGTCATCGTCAAGTTCAACTTGGGAAAGACCGAGGGACAGTTGTTGATTGGACAGACTTAAAGAAGGGTCCATGGAGGGTTGGTCGCCCACCACAGCCGAGGACTCTCCGTCAGGCATTACTCGATTATGATGGGAGGGCTCAAGGGATCAAAAATCTGAAGAGAGAGACTTTTGAAACTTTCAATTCCCAAAACTTTTTTCTTAAGGAATAAGCAGAGAACTACCTTGGTAAGCAAGGTCCTGACTCTGTGTGACCCAACATTGATTCTCTTTCTTATAAAGTCTCTCTTCTTTCTTTTGTTTCCAAGACGCGCATGGGATGACGCATGATTTTTTACATTTATTTAATATTATTTTTTATTTATATTTTAAAAAATATAAAAATTTATTTTTTATAATTATTCTATCTTTATAATACATTTAAAATAAATATAAATATGTATTATTCTATCCTGGATTGAATATTATTCTCATAACTTACACAACTAATTGTTTATAAAAATTTCATCTGTTACATTTTGTTTTATCAATTCTATCTTTACATTGATTTTCATTTTTAGTTTATTTATTGAACAAATTTGCACCAAACTTATAGTTGATAATTACTTTTTTATTATAAAATAAATATTTCTTTGACAAAAATAAATTCATTAAAATTTCGCTTTTATATTTATTGACAGAGAAATATCATAAAGTTATTAAATTAGAGAAATTATTTAAACTTCTTGATTGACTCAGAACTATTGTAAACTCGAATTATAAATTTATAAGAATTTACTTTAAATAAAAAGTTATTAAAATATTTAAATAATATAAATGTTGTTGTATATGATGTTATAAATACTTTTTTAAAATTTTATTAAAATATTATTATTATTATTATTAATTGATCATATTATATATTTTAAAATATTTTTATATTTTCCTAACTATTATTATTTTTTGTAATATATCATATTTAATATAACAGACACCAGGTGTCTGAAATTTGAAAGCGAAAGACCTAGACCCAAATGAGAAACCCTTCACTTAAGTTTCACCTTCTATAACTAGAGCATCAGGAAGGTAGATAGAGCGAAGGAGAACTACAACTAACGCCACCAAGACCAGGCTGCTAATGCGACCACTCACGAACGCGACTACCTAATACAACCAGACCAGCAACCTGCGAACCCTAACAAGAGTAAAAACGGAGTCGTTTTTGGTCTAAGAAGAAATCCTCTTGACTCATCAACTCGGTTGCAGACTCGCGAGTTCACCGAGTTCGTCTACCGAGTTCAGAGCAAGTCTACCGAGTTTTCTCAAAAAGAGTTTGCTTCCGAGTCTAACTCGTCCAGGGTGAGTGTAAAAGGTAACTAGGATGAGTTATCTCGTTAGCTAGATAACATGCATGTTACTCTATGACTAGTTTGAAAATTGAACAGCTCCAAATATGTCAAACTAGATCTGATTCTTACACTTTTATTTGTGTGTCGGTTCAGATAAGTAGAAAAGTAGATGATGAGTGTAAAAGGTGACTAGGGCTGAGTTAACACGCGAGCTTGATAACATGCATGTTACTTTTGGACTAGTTTGAAAAATGAACAGTTCCAAATATGTCGAACTAGACCTGATTCTTACACTTTTATTTGTGTCCGTTCAGATAAAGTAGAAAAGTAGATGGTGGGTGAAACGGGAAAGTTGTTTGGTTTGGGATGTGATCCAGTAGTGGGATCACTGACTTCTTCAAAGAAGAAGGAATACAGGGTTACAAATCGTCTCCAAGAGGGAAAGCGTCCTCTATATGCTGTTGTTTTCAACTTCATAGACTCCCGCTATTTCAATGTCTTTGCCACTGTTGGTGGCAATAGGGTACCTCTATTCTCTCTTTTCTGTCACCTCCCTTTTATATTTTCATCCCCAACTATTAACCTTTAACACTTTTTCTTGTTAATTCTTCAGGTTACAATTTATCAATGTCTTGAAGGAGGAGTTATTGCTGTTTTGCAATCTTATGTAGACGAAGATGTAAGTCAACTGACTAACACTACTCTTCTCTTTAGTTAGCTCTTCATTTCTCTAGGTATGCATATATATATATACTTCAACTTCTATATGTTTTGATGTAGAACAGAAGGATGAGTCTTTTTACACAGTGAGTTGGGCATGCAATGTTGATGGAACTCCATTTGCTGTGGCTGGAGGAATTAACGGGGTTATCCGAGTCATTGATGCTGGCAATGAGAAGATACACAAGGTATTATTATTACAGTAGTGAAGTGATCATTAAATTTTTCTTTTTTTATTTTTCCACTCTTAAAAAGTAATATACAAATAGTTTTGTACATATTTTTGAATGCATTTTATTACCAATATTTCTTTATTTATAAAATGATGAGTACATATAATTTATTGCTATATAAACTAAAAATTGTATGTAATTACCTTCTTTAAATATTGCTTTATTTACAAAAAAAAGTAAAGATTATTTAATGAAATTATATAAAATCACTGTTGTTAATATATTAAAATAAAAAATAAAAAATAAGTAATTACCTTATTTATTAGAGTAGAACATAGGCTTGATTGGATAACAACTGGCTTGTCCGCATTTTGATTATTTCTTACAGTAAGAAAGTTACCAGTTAACACAGTTAAAAAAAACAGTTGTCATACTAAAAAACAAAACAATTGCCCCTACAAACGGTTTTCGCCCAATCATTCCGCTTGTATCCTCAGTCTTACCTAGCTCAATCATTCTTACATCCTCTTTCTTACCTAGCCAATGCATATTCCTTGATATCATCATTGCTTCTTCTTCGGGAAAAGAAGTTCCTGACACCTAGACCTTCTACCTTCACGTTACATTGCTCTGTCAGGCTTTTACCCATTGCGGAAAATTCCCCATTGTTGCCGTCTATAGGAGTTTGGGTGTGTCTCAATCCCGTTATGGCTAATCATTCTCTCGGACCAACTACTGATCATCGTCTTGGTAAACTTTTGTCTCACCAACTAGCTAATCAGACACTAGCCCCTCTTTGGGCGGATTCCTCCTTTTGCTTCTCAGCTTACAGGGTATTAGCAGCCAAATCCAGTTGTTATTCCCCTCCCATGGGTAGGTTCTTACGCTTTAATCACTCTTTTCTAGTTGTTATTCCTCTCCCAAGAGTAGGTTCTTATGCGTTACTCACCCGTCCACCACTGGAAACACCATTTCCCATCCGATTTGCATGTGTAAGGCATGCCGCCAGCGTTCATCCTGAGCCAGGATCGAACTCTCCATGAGAAATTAGCCCTCCATAGGTTATGTAAATGTGAAAGTGCTCTTCAAATAGTTTAGAAAGAAAATAACACACAAATAGATTACATGGTAATGACATAATGACGGAAGAATATAGGAACACAGTAAGGAATTGAAGAACATGGGAACAATTAGAGTTAATAAGGAAAACTAAATAAATGGAAACGAAGACTTATTGGAAGATGTAGTTCAGATGCAACCACCCCCACTTTGGAGATCTCAAGATGAGTAATAGAAGTAATAGACTTAGGAGATCTCAAGATAAGACTCAGTAACAAATAACTCTTCTCTCGAATTTGATATAGTAATTCAATGTGTCAAATACAAAAGAGGGGTGACCTATTTATAACATGGAGTCCTCTCTAGTTTCCAAGGGGGAGGGAGATTCAAAATTCAAAATGTGGTGCCTGTAGTGGATGTAGCCAATGTCATGGTTTCCACATTTGCACATATGAGAAATGTGTGTTTAGCTCTCTTTAGACAAGCCAAATATGCAGGGTAGACATCTAGGGTTTTTGATTTTGCTTTATGTGAGCCCAATTTATTACAAAAAAAAGAAAAAAGAGATCTATCTACCTCTAGTTTTATTATGCAAGCCCATAGAAGACAATCTGGAAGAGAGACAACATAGTAAGAACAACTAATGTATGTGCAATGCTCCTAGTGGCTACTGTTTCTTTTGGAAATGGTTAGACCTGGGTCCTAAGCTGACTGATCTTGAGTCATGCTCGTGATAACCGTCCTGCTGAGGGATCTCTACTACTCATGGCTTCATCAAAATGTGTACACCAAAAAGCAGTTGTGAAAGTGCATTGTTATTATTAATTGTTATATTATATAAAACCATAAATACTATACTGAAAGAAATTGAGCACCTGAAACGAACCTAATTATCTTAATTTTAATATTCTTTATTACCTTAGCCTTTTGATAATTTTTTTTAGGTTTTTATGGCTAAACTAANTTTGCTTTATGTGAGCCCAATTTATTACAAAAAAAAGAAAAAAGAGATCTATCTACCTCTAGTTTTATTATGCAAGCCCATAGAAGACAATCTGGAAGAGAGACAACATAGTAAGAACAACTAATGTATGTGCAATGCTCCTAGTGGCTACTGATTCTTTTGGAAATGGTTAGACCTGGGTCCTAAGCTGACTGATCGTGAGTCATGCTCGTGATAACCGTCCTGCTGAGGGATCTCTACTACTCATGGCTTCATCAAAATGTGTACACCAAAAAGCAGTTGTGAAAGTGCATTGTTATTATTAATTGTTATATTATATAAAACCATAAATACTATACTGAAAGAAATTGAGCACCTGAAACGAACCTAATTATCTTAATTTTAATATTCTTTATTACCTTAGCCTTTTGATAATTTTTTTTAGGTTTTTATGGCTAAACTAACTATAGTTAATGGTAATAAATATAAAGTAACACTAAGAACAGAGATCTAAAAATAATAAAAAAATATTGCAAGAACTAAAAACAAATATAATCCTATTTTCAGGAACATAATAAAACACATTTAAGTCAATTTTTTATTCAATAATGTTGATAATATATTGTGTACTAATCCCTACTTCTACCTTACATGATGTCATCTCGTAGCAGAGTTTTGTTGGCCATGGAGACTCTGTAAATGAAATCAGGACTCAAACATTAAGGCCATCGCTTGTGATATCTGCAAGCAAAGTAAATTTCTTTTCGATATTTTCACTATTCAAGGAATCCCTTGTTTTTCAGTCAGTGACATGACATCTATGATTGACCAGGATGAATCTGTCCGCTTGTGGAATGTTCATACTGGCATATGCATTTTGATATTTGCTGGAGCTGGAGGACATCGTAATGAAGTTTTAAGTGTTGTAAGTGTATTCTTCATCTAATATTTCTCTCCCTTTTCTTGCTTAGTTACCTATTCTTGTTGATAATATAAGATTTGGATTTTGGAGATTAGCACAACTAATTTTCTCTTTATTACTATAGGATTTTCATCCATCAGATATATATCGCATTGCTAGTTGTGGCATGGATAACACTGTAAAAATATGGTCTATGAAAGGTAATATATATTAGTTTTATGTTTGCTGCATTGCTGCTATTAGTTGAGAGAAATAACTTACTACTAAGAAGTACTCTCAAGATCAGTTTTAACTTTTGAGAGAAATATTTGAATTGAAATGGTTGAGAAATTGATATGTTATAATTCAATTCCATTTTCCAGTCAACTGGACAGATTCTAAAAGTTGTTTATTGGAATGATAATCCAGATAAGGATATTGCATAACCTCTTGGTGTTTGCATTTTTGTGCAACTTTTTCACTTTTTACTGATACTGCAATTTATTGATACTTGTCTATGATACAAATTATTACTGATTATGTATTTCTTTTCTAACTTTAGCCAGCTAGAATGATATCCCATCCAGTAACAAAAATAATGGCATTCTAACTAATGGAGATAATAACAAGAACATAAATGTAACTATGTTGGTACTAGCTTGTTTCATCAGTTATAATCAAAGTAAAGGATTAGAAGAAAGGTGTTTTCCCATAAATAGGGTCGGCTACATGGATCAAATGACACCATTGTATCATTTGTTTCAGAGAGGCTATTAATCTCCCTTAACCTCTGTTTATCCATCTATCATGTCCTACTTGTAATCAACTCTTTTTAATGGATTTGACAAGTTGTTTTTTTGTATCTTTGATATTTGTTACATGATAACATGGAAGCTGCAAGTAATAATTATTTTTGTTAAATGTTGAAAAAATCTTGTGTGGAAAATGATGTCTCTGTCTGTTTATGCACTGAATCAACTAAAATAAGTAGTTTGGTTGAAGATTTCATAGTTGGGTCCCACTACCATGCAGCAGTGTCCTGTGCACAAACCAAATTATATACCATTTATGGTTGTGAAATTTTTAGTAAACCTACCAGTTGTATTGTCTATTTCATTTTAATCTATCATGTTCAAATATTTTACTGCAGAGTTCTGGACATACGTAGAAAAATCATTCACTTGGACAGATCTTCCTTCTAAGTTTCCCACAAAATATGTCCAGTTTCCGGTAAACAACAGTTTGCTTCTGGTACATAGTCCTTAGTTTCAATTTTTTTCTTATTTCTACTAATACTAGCTGTTCCTAATTTCAGGTTTACAATGCTTCAGTTCATTTAAATTATGTTGACTGTAATAGGTGGCTTGGTGATTTTATCCTCTCAAAGGTGAGTGGTGCTAAGTATCAGACTATTAACTAGATCTGGTGGAAATTTAATGTTAGATCTGTTGTGTGGGAAAAAAGGGTTCCTAAATCACTAGTATGGTATTTTTTAAATTATAAAGGGAAATAAAAGTAAACGGCTCTATAATAATTTGGAGATAAAAAGTTCTAAAAGTGTTTAGGCTAGTTCTCCATTTTTGTTACTACAATTGGTCATAATTATAGTATTCTTTTTAATTTAAAACTCCTCTGATTCATGGGGTTACTTACTAATTCCTTAAGTAATGGATTATGTTTCGTTTCCAGAGTGTTGACAATGAAATTGTCTTGTGGGAACCTAAAGTGAAGGAACAAACTCCTGGGGAGGTTAGTTATAATTATCATCTTTTTTCAATTATATTTTAATGTGTAACTTTTAATCAGCTTCACTTTTTCATTTCTTTTTTCATTTTTTTTGTGGATGTCTAGGGTGTAGTTGACATCCTTCAGAAATACCCTATTCCCGAGTGTGATATCTGGTTCATCAAGTTTTCTTGTGATTTCCATTTCAACATAGCTGCTGTGGGTAAGGATATCTAATTGCATTTTTCTTTTAAATTGATTATTTTCTGTAGTGTGTGCAGGGTAACTACTACAGTGACACGAACTACGTATTACACAACTTGTTCATAACAGATTTGTGACAATTTGGACTAGTTCTTTGCCTGCTAGAGTTTAGTTCTATCCTATATTCACTTTTTCTATTCTCTGATTCTGCCAGGTAACAGGGAAGGGAAGATTTTTATTTGGGAATTGCAGTCAAGTCCTCCTGTACTTCTTGCAAGGTTTAGTTATCTATCAATACTATTTAATGTATTTTCATTTTATGAGATTCTTAAGCTGCTGAGTCAACTTGTTCAGGTTGTCACATCCTCAATCAAAATCTCCAATCAGACAGACTGCTACATCTTTTGATGGAAGGTATTTCTTCATACATTGATGTTGCTGCTTATAATTTTGATGCAATGTTGTCTTTTTCTTTTAACCCTAGTCCTTTCTTGTGTTTGTTGTAGTACTATATTGAGTTGCTGTGAGGATGGGACAATATGGCGTTGGGATGAAGTTACAAACTCCTCAACCTAACCTATCTCTGCTTATTCTAGTATGATGTACCAAGATCACTTATTAAATAATTTACTTTAGCCTGTGAAACCACGAAAATGTTTGCTCTTAAGTTGTGTGATTTCTCGTTTGAAATTTGACAATGCAGAAGGATTTCTACTACCAATCCTATCATCTCTACTGACCTTCTCAGAAGAGAAAATTTTGTCATTGTCTAAGTTAATGCATATCATCTTACCATCAGTAGAAGATTATGAAAGGAATAATTAAGGCTGTTTGTCTAGCTCACTTAGAAAGTATTCCCATAAATCACACTTTCCAACTCAATTTTTCCCAAAGTAAAAAGTTATTTTCCCATAAATCACCGGTTATTTAATAGGTTTTAGGTTTTCAACTTTCCTATTAGCCATTTCATCACTGAATATACTCTTATGGTGATAGTTGTGTTGATTAAAGCATGATCATACTTTTTGTTTTTAAAATGTCGCCCTTACATTCTAGCCTGCATGTATATATATGTTTAGATAAGAGGAAAAATGTAAGAAAAAAAATGAATAATGATGTTATTTTGTTACAATGAAAGTCAGGAAAGGGACAGAACTTCAATAAAAATAATTGTTATTTCTGCTCTCTTTTTTGTCATATCATGTATGACATCTTTTTCCCTTGCTTTCTCTTCATCATTCTAAAATTCTGAATACACCAATAGATAATAGATATAAGGTGTGTTACATTGACAAATCCATACAAATATTAAGAGAAAATAGGTTTTGCATCTAAATTTAAAATAATTTTATATTAACATGTATTCGTAAATTATTTTATGAACTTTTATATAGAGCCCGTAAAATAAGTTTATCTTGAAAACTTCAAAGAACAAATTGAGTAAGAAAATAGAATGTCTGACTGAACCACTTTTTGTTTAGTCTGTTTAACTTGTAACTTAATGTCTAAGCATATAGACAGATATATATTGAAAATAATAATTATATTAAAAAATTAATATGGTTTTATTCAATTCAGCCTAAATCATTCTTAAATTGGATGTAGGGCTTCAAAAAGATCTTTAACCATAAACTCTTATTTTAACATTCTTTAATAAATGAGAGCAGCTAGTTGAGAGAAACAATTATTTATATATTTTGTTCACGAGTACATTTGAGAGTCTTCAATTAACATATTTTGTTCTTTTATAATTATTTTTAAAGATTTTCTTCTTGGTAAAAATTTCTACAGTTTTACCTTGCCTTCCAAAAAAAGAAAAAAAAAACTTTTGAAGTTTGCCTTTTCTTTTATGAATTTAAAAATTAAAATATTAATTGATTTATTTGTTATCCATTAAATTATGCTGTCATATTACATGTTTTCTATAAATATTTTATCTCAAATAACATCATGAGTATCACTATCATGAGTATATGAACATTAACATTTTATATTAATATCTCAAAATCCATCAATCATACTATAAATATTTTTTTTTTATTTATATTTTATTTTTATCTTTAATTTTTTATATGCAAAAGTTAAACACGGATAAGAAAATTTATAATAATTAGTTACTCATTAAGAAAGTTAACTACTTAATAAAGATATTTATTTTTCCTTTAAGCAGGATAATTAAATAAATATTAAATTTGGATTTTAAAAACGTGAATAATTTAACTCAAAAGAATAAAGTTTTAATTTAAAAATTAATTAAATTTAAAATAATGATTATTAAAAAGATAAAAATGAAGATATGATTTTTTAATTTAAAATAATAGTTATTTAAAAGATAAAATTAAAAGAAAAAAGGTATACACGAAAAAATTCCTTAATTTACGTGATTGCTTATTATTTTACTCCTTACTCAAACCATTCACTATATTGATTATTAACAATATCATCCTATTTTCTAATTTCAATAAATGTCTATTAACTTTATTAATACTACCTTAAACACAAATGTGATACTGTCTTTTTATACACATTTTTAAATATTTACAAATTATTTAAATTTTAAAAATAGTAATTAAAAGAATAAAATTAGAAAAAAAATATTTATAGATATATAATTGTAAATAAAGTTAAAAGATAAATTTTAATTATTAAAATAAAACATTATAAGTAATATTGTGAAAATAATTTTTTTATTATGAGTAATTATTTAAATTTGAAAAAGTGATTACTAAATTGATAAAAAGTAAATAGGTTTTTTATAATGAATAATTATTTAAATTATTTTTTTTAAATAATAAAACTGAAAAAAAAATTTATTCTGATTTATTATTTAAACTTAAAAAAATAATAATTAAGATAAAATTAAAAAATAAAAGGCACCAAAGAGATATATTCCTTTTATATATAGTTATAAATTATTATTATTATTATTATTATTGTTGTTATTGTTATTGCAATTGCTATTTTCCTGCAAGAGAAAGGCGTTAGCTTGCTCCTCTTTCCATCTATTGCTTTTCATTCCAACTATAAGAATAATGGCTTATTTTATCATCTACAAATAAACTGGTTGAGCTTATCCGGGGAACCAAATTTAGATGAGAGACATGGGAGAAGGGAAAAAATAAAATAAAAACAGAACCTGAAGTTTTCACAAAAACTCACTCATTTTTTATTTGAATCCGCTGTGTAAATTAGAGTGACAACAATGGACTATAATCAACTGATACAACATTCCTGGAAGAACATCTTAAGCTTCCAATGGTACAGCGGATTCAGGTTTCAAACGGTTTAATCGGACAGTTCCAAGAATATACTCTGGCAGCTCCGATTCTTCTTTTGCCTGCAAGTATAGCATCAGTTAATACCTGAACTACTCTAAAATTGGAATGCACGTGTGATGAAAATTTTAACTTTCATAAGTGAATGCACAAACAGTTGATGTAAAAGAATCTGGAGGAGTTATTCCCTTGTCATTCCTAATATAAAGAAACTAGTAGAAATTAAAGATTTTCCTCAATAGCTTATTTCGGTTGAAAAAAAAAGTGATACTAATATAAGCAGCTCACCACCTTCCTCATTAGAAAAATTCAGTTTTACAAACCTCTTCCTCTCAGTTGTCCTTATATGATATTAATGGTTATATGTTATTTGTATACGCCAGCTATAGCACAAAATCAAAAGCAGAATGTCTGAGAGTAGTGACAAGAGGAATATACTATAGAAAGAGAAAAAATCCTCTGCAAAACAACCAACCGAATTTTCCTTTAAACAAACAGGAGTATGACACAAAATAGAATCATACACCAAATCTTATCCCATGATAGAAATAGAAACAGACACCCTTTAAATTAAGAGTATCTATCTATCTGCAAACAATTACACCCGAAAAATTGAAGAAACAGCAGTCATAAATTAAAACTTCAGCACTTTCGCCAAAAAATAAAGTCTACACTAAAAAGGAACAAAAAAAGATGATACCACAAGAAGATTGTCTGTCCTTAAATTTTATTAACAGAAAGGCACAAACCTCTATCAAAATTGCAAGGTCGACAACAAGACTCGTAACATATCCGAGGACAAGGCCTATGACACTTCTGGCTACAGAAGACGATCCAATGTCCACATCAATCTGTATATTACAGAAAAATAACACAAGAGTGTGATTTACCAGAAAATATGAAAATGACAGAAAAGTTACCGGAAGACTGAAGCTCAATTCTACAACCAACTAGCATATTATTGCATTCACTTTCAACAGTAATAAATGGGAATCTTCAACAACTAGAAAATTTCAAATTAAAATTTCAGAATAAACGTTAAGCTCCATAAGCTAGAGCCAAAAGTTCTGGTCACGGGACTTGGAATGTACACAGCATACCAAATTAAGCTTTAGATATCCTTTATTTATATTAAGATGCTATTTTGTTTCCAATTTGAATGATTGCATTCAGGGAGCAGCTAGGATACAAAAATCTCTGATCTACAACAAAAACCAAAACTCTTCCTCCCCCAGATGTCCTACCGGAAGTTTGGTCATATAAAGCGAGAGCTACGAATAGTTTGAGTGACAATTTCACCCAGAAATACGTTCCAATTTATCAGCAAGACTTGTAAAGACAAAAAAATCCCAAGTACAATTTACAAGAGAGAAATTAAGATAAGGCTATTTGGCATGATGCATGAGATAACTCTACTTGAATTTAATATGGTTTGGTTTTAATCACTACACTATATTTTTGTTAGCAAGAATTAATGATAAAATGTTACGATGAGTGGCTAGAAAGTAGCCATTGATGTGAATCTGTTCACTTGTCTTCTTAATTTAATGGGAGTGGTTTTCTAAGATGGAAACTGGGATAGGGTAAGGAAATGACAGGTGTATGCTGCTTGCATAAACCTCATATAATGTAATGTAAGTATAAAAGTGTACAAGAACTTCATCAACAAACACGAACAAATAATTACCATAGCAAAATGCAATATTCTGAAACAATATTTAATACAAGAGTCAATAGAACAGGTAAAAATACCAGTGATATAGTATAAATAGTAATAACGCAGAGATTTTATGTAAAATAGTTTCTCAATTATTTTCGAGAATCAGCATAAACAAGCTTGACTTCTTAACTTGAGATTGTAAGGCCCAGAACTACTTCAAGATATAAGCTTAAGTCAAATGGGAAAAAATTCCAAGGTATCATTACCTCCAAAAAATTATCTTGTCTAAAGTATTTACAGGTTACGGCTTTTCCCAAGAGGCAAGCTTTGGTTCCTACAGCTCTCTTGACCATCCAATATCCCTGTGTCAATTGAAAACTATTAGCTGACAAATGCTATCAAGGATCAAACATAGCATATATAAAAATTCATCAAGGATCACAAACCTCAACTATACTAGGAATAAGCTTGAATCTTGAGTCCCGAAATGCATCACTTCCACCAACAAACTTAGCTAACAAAGAATTTTTATTTATCGGTCTGTCAGCTGCATAATACAGAACCAGACTGTAGTTTGGTTTGGCAGGAACCTGAGTTTGATTACAAACAAAAGGAAAGTCTTTCAATGAGAAGCAGATCTGTGGCATAAAAAAAAAATCTCCAATGCACTTTATCTATATAAACTACAGACGAAGTTTCTCTTGAACCGTTGATAGATCTATGATTGTGGATTTCAGAGACAGAAGCACATGTCACAGACTATTCATGATTTCAATCAATTAACTTTCCAGCTTTTAGCATCACATTTATGCTTACTAAGTTAAAAAAAGAAAGGCAGTAAAACCTTCCAATTTACTTGTCGGTCAAAGTTGGCAGCCCTGACACTACTAGTAGTAAAGCTACTCAATTAATTGTTCATTCAATGTCAAAAACAATAATATGCCAGCAGTAGACGTTTCAAACTAGGTATAACCAGAAAGAGAAAGACAGTTGAGACAAACTGAAGAATCACTAGGTCAATAATGTTAAAGAGTAGGAAAGGATCAAACACAATTTATCCTTCTTAATTTCCTTTGAAACTCTTTTATTAAAATCCTAAAATAAAAAAAGTTGCAACATGACCACTTCCATTAAAGCTCAGGGAGCTTGAAACTTGGTAAACAATTACCCCTCAGCACTAAAATAGTTGTTACTGTAAAATGAAGAGTAGTATATCAGGCTTCTAATGTATGAATTATTAGAAGAGCAGTTATCCAACTGTCTCTTGGGCAGTTAGTTGTTAGAGAAAAGGAGTTAAGTCAGTTATACAAACTGAGATTAGGTTAAGTCAGTTACACAACTAACTACAGGCTGTTAATATAGGCAGTTACATATCTCTCACTATGATGACAGTACTGATCCTACAAATACCTTAGTTTAACCATTAAGATAGCTATGAGGCAAATGTAGAAGATCCACATTTCTTAGTGGAATTGACATGCCAAAAAAGATACATACCAAAGAAAACTGTGAACAGGGTTCTTTCAAAGGAGAGACATACAACTTGAGGTGAAACTGCCGAACAAGGGCAGATCTGGAACTGCACCTCAGGCCGACTCCAACAAAGCAAGTGGCGGCAAGAACTGTGGTCAAACAAGCCGTCACGTGCCAGAAATGGGTGGCATGTGAAACCCGCGAGAAAAAAATGGTGCTCGTTTTGGTGCACAGCTGCTTTGACGGTGGCATGACTCCGGGAGCTATCAAATCAGAGGACGAAGAATCTCTTGGCGTGGTAGCCAGTCAAATTCAATGCTTTAAAAGCAGCAGTGGTTACAACAGTGACAGTGATGGTGGTCATGAAACAAACTTGGTGCACTCAAGACAACCCAGATAAACAAAGGAAATAGGTGTATTTCATCAACCCTAAAAATGGAAACTACAGCTAAGACCATAAGGGAAAAAATACAAAAGCAAAGCTCCCAACATCGGGAGATCTGACACAACATAAAAAGGATAAAGCAGAGAAAAAGGTCTTATTGACATTGAATAAGTAAAACAGTACATAAGCATCTTTACATAAAGAACTCTTCTCTAAAGCAATGATTACCAAAGATCCCTAATAGCTTACAACACCACACTTGTAATGATTACAAAACCTTCTAATAAATTAACAAAATGTTTTCTCCTAACTCAAAAACTGTGAATCTGATAGACTTCTTTTGTCAAGAAGTCGATCACACATAGCAACACACACACCAACGCTAGAAAGAATGGAAAGAATGTATATTATTGATGAAAGAATGAACAATGTACACTCTCAACCTCCTAGGAAGTCCTCTCCCTCCACCGGATAAGATGTCCAGTCTATATCTAACAGTATACAAAAGGAATCAATCCCCGCACTGTACAACCCATTCCCCTATTTATACAACTCCCCTTTCCCTCCTTATTACTAACTACTGACAGAACTGCCTTTCCCTCCTAACCTCCTACTCATTTATTCTTTATTCTTTCATATACTCTAAGTATTCTATCAGAATCCTTTTCTAGTGACTCTTGTGGTGCTGATTATGGTGGTCGTGGTGATCCTAGTGGAGGTTGTAGTGGTTACTATTCCAGCTTTCAATGTCAGATGTGCCTTAAGTTTGGACATGTTGCATCTTACCATTTCAACGAATCATTGAATAATCAAGGACTTAAAAATGGTTTGTAACTATTCACTCTTAAAATTGGGGTTTGGCATAACTCAACTACAAAAACTAGCTCATATGATGAGGGTTGTCTAGCATTTATAGACACTATTTAGTCATATCACAAGTAAGTTCGATATCTCTGTTGAAAGTCCCACATCGACTAGAGATAAGGACAAATTATATATATAAGTGAGGTGCAAACCTCATCTTACAAGCCGGTTTTGTGGGGTTAAGTTAGGCTTAAAGTCCACTTTCTAATATGGTATCAGAGTCATGGTTAGAGCCTATCCTAGCGACTTCTAAGTGGGCATTCTATTCTTCTATTCCATCCGCTATCGGGCCGTTATCGGACCACCCAATTTCTACTATCACGCACGAGATGTCTATACCTCGACGTGAAGGGGGTGTGTTGGAAGTCCCACATCGACTAGAGATAAGGCCAAATTATAATATATAAGTGAGGTGCAAACCTCACCTTACAAGCCGGTTTTGTGGGATTGAGTTAGGCTTAAAGTCCACTTCTAACAATCTCCAACACGTCTCTCCTTACACTAAGCACTAAACATTTATGGTGGTCCAATCAAATCTTCATAATAGGCAACTCAATAGATCCAAATGGAATTGTTAGGATAAGCATTTATATCACCTTGTAATTTGAATTCAAATCTAATTAAACTTCAAAAGTAAACTAATAAGGCGAAGGTTTCCTTCTATTTATACATAATAGTTTAGTTATATCACTATTCATTGCGGGATCTGTTAACATTCACACATTTAATAACCTTAGTTTTTCCCGATTTGTATGTGTTGATAGCTGTTAGAATAATTATTAAGTCTACCTAGTATAGCAGGGCCTAAAGTAGGCAGTTGTGTGTTGGGGTATCTATAATGATTGTTCCTAGCAGTCTAGGACAATCTCTTCATCTTTCATCTATGTATTGTATCATATTTTTATCTATATAAATGATAGAACTGAGAAGGGTCTTTCAAGCCCTTTAGAACTATTTTTCTCTGTTTTAGATCTCAAGTTGGTATCAGAGCAGGTTCATCCTGCTCTGGTTTCCTGTCCACCAGCACTGTCACTGCTGTTTGCACCTGTCCGGTGCCGTTCGCCGTTGTCCGCGGCTGTCTCGCCATTATCTGCAGCTGTCAACTGCAGTTTGGAGCTCTCCAACTTGGTTGTCCGCCATACAACATCTGTCCGCTGCTGTCCACCACCGTTCGCCGCCGTCCGCCGCCGTTCTCCGCCGTCCGCCGCCGTCCGCCGTCACAGTTCCGTCCGGCGACCACTGGATCTGGTTCGCCTCTTCACGCGACGGCCAACCCCACCGGTGGGCTCGCTGATTCTCCTCCACGCTCCGCCACGCGCCGCCTCTTTGTGCGCTGCGATCAGGCGTCGCTGTACACGCGCCGCCCTCCGCTCACCGGAAAGTCGCCGCGCCACCTCCGTAGCTGTCGCCCTCTGCTCCTCTGTCCGTTCTGGCCCCTCAAAATCTCACTTTGGTGTGTCCAGAAGCTCCCCCTTGAAGAAAACCGTGAGCAACCCTAGGTTTTTCCTGGTTCTTCACGTTTTTCGCTGGTTCTTCACGGTTTTTCTGTTCTTTCTCCTGCTTTTATCACAGAATGGCGTCTGGAAGTGCTCTTTCTTTCTCTGGAAGTCCCTCCATTACTTCCGAAAAGTTAAATGGAAAGAATTATCTGTCTTGGTCTGCTACTGTGGAAATGTGGTTCCTTGGTCAAGGACATTATGACCACCTGAGCAGGATGGGAGCCAAGTACCTCTGACAAAGCTGAACAATGGAAACAAGCTGATTTCCAATTGTGTGCCCTATTGTGGCAATCTGTGGAACCCCGACTTTTGATATCTCTTAGAGCCTTCAAGACATGTCACACTTTTTGGAAGAAAGCTCAAGCATTATGCAATGATATTCACGTCTCTATGATACCGCAAACAAGCTCGCCTGTCTCAAAATGACAGACCATGATATGGTTCTCCTTCATGACTGAAGCCCAGCAGACTGTGGAAGAATTGATGAATGTTCTTGGAAGCGGAATCTTCAGAAGATATCAAAAAGAAGCTTGACAAGTATTATATGGTGATGATCCTCCGTGCTTGTCATCCAGATATGAATCATATCATAGATCAACTTCTTGACAAGTCATGAGGTCCCTTCCTTGGAAGACCTTGACCACACGTCTTCTTTCGTGTTCCTGTGCCTCAGTCTCAGGAAGCTTATGAAACAATGGAACCATCTGTCATGGTTGCCACGCGAGGAAGAGGAGGACGTGGCACTAGAGGAGGAGGACGTGGAGGTCGAGGACGTCCAGCATGCTCTTATGTAAGGGGTGGGTCACACCCAAGAAAACTGCTACTCCTTGCATGGCTTTCCTTCAAAAACCGCAATATCTCTAAGGCTTGAACTTCCACTTCCAACTCCTAAGTTCATGAGGAAGATTATCAAGAGTATCTGCGATTAAAGTCTAATAGTTTGGCGCAATCATCTCATCCCCAAGTACGTCCACAGCTTGCATGTCTCAATCCATGGAAGGTCTAAATTCATGGGTAATTGACTCGGGTGTCTTCGGATCACATTTCTAGTAATACCTCATTGTTCTCAACCCTTTCCCTCCAAGAAAAACCCCATTTCATTACCCTTGCAATGGCTCTAAAACTTGTTCAAAGGGATCGGTTCCGTCTCCCTGTCTCCCTCTCTAACTCTGAATCTGTTCTTTTTGTCCCTAACCTGTCCATTCAATTTAATTTCCCTAAGTCAGTTAACCAAAATGTTACAATTGTTCACTACTTTCGATTCAAAATCTTTTGTTATACAAGAGCGTGGCTCGGGGAGACAGATTGGGGGAGAGGATTGAAGCTGGAGGTTTATACCATTTTGGATCTCGGCCACGGTAATCTTGTGTTGCAAGCTCTTTTCCCCTAAAGTGTACAATGTCGGTGTGGCCATCTCACTTGTCAAGTTAAAAAAGTGTGTCCTGACACTTATTGGTCTTCAGACTTTAGAATGTGAGTCCTGTCACTAGGAAAACTGTTAGATCTGTCTTTCCCAAAAGTTCAATCAATGTGTACTTTCTAGTTTCTCTATTATTCATTCTGATGTCGGGGACCTAGTCGCTCTCTTTTTTGGTTTTTAGGTATTTTGTTACTTTTATTGATAGAGTATTCTAGATGTACTTGGGTTATCTAATGAAAGATCGCTCTGAATTGTTACCTCATTTTCACATCCTTTTTGAATGAAACTCAAGAACCAATTTGGTCATGTAATTAAGTCTTAAGAAGTGATAATGCTAAAGAGTATTTCTCATTAACTTTTTCTTCACTTCTTAGCTCCCATGGTATTTCTACATCAGTCCACTTGTCCTCATACACCCCAGCAAAATGGTATAGCCGAAAGAAAAATAGACACTTGTTTGAAACGCTCGTACCCTTTTGCTTAGTGGCTCATATTCCTGTTCATCACTGGGGTATGCCATCTTAACTGCATGTTTCTTATTTAATAGATGTCCCTCCTCCTCCCTCATAATAAAGTTCCCTTTCTCCGATTCTCTTTCCCAATGATCCTCTCTTCACACCCTCTCCGCGCGTCCTTTGGTTGTGTTTGTTTTGTTCACGACATGTCCTCCGGACTCGACAACTCTCTGCTCGTGCGATCAAAATGTGTCTTTTTGGGCTATTCTCGGCTTCAAAAAGGGTTACCGGTGTTACTCCCCTGAAACCAAAAAGTACTACATGTCTGCCCATGTTACCTTCTTGAACAGACACCTTTCTTCTCTCCCCTGTTCAAGATGTTCATATCCTCCACCAGGTCCTTCCTCTTCCAATGTGTTGAGTCTAATATCTCCAATCCCTCAGTCAGTCCAAGTCATGCCCAAGGTCTCCCGAACCTTCCTCTCCCCATACTGATATCCTTCAACACAGTACCCCGGTGAGTATCCTCTTCCAGCAAATGTGGATCTCCTCCTTCAGATTCTTCTCCGTCACCATCTCCTGTCACGCCTCCTGGTGAAGATGATTCTGGTTGGCCCATGCTCTCAGAAAAGGTACTCGTTCCACTCGCAACCCTCATCCCATTTATAATTTTCTTAGTTACACCGAGTGTCGCCCTCCTTTTATTTCCCTTTTATCCTCAATATATCCTGTGGTTATTCCTAAAAATGTGAAAGAAGCACTTGATCATCCTGGATGGCGACAAGCCATGATTGAAGAAATGCAGGCTCTTGACCACAGTCATACTTGGACCTTGTGCCACTGTCCCCCGGGCAAAAGGCTGTTGGTGTCGATGGGTATATGCCATTAAAGTCGGCCCAATGGTGACATTGATAGGCTCAAGCCCGACTGGTTGCAAAAGGGTACACTCAGGTTATGGTCTTGATTATTGTGACAACCTTTTCTCCCCGTGGCCAAGATGACTACCATTCGATTGTTCTTTGCCATGGCTGCCATTCGTCATTGGCCACTTCATCAGTTGGATATCAAAAATGCCTTTCTCCATGGTGATCTTGAGGAAGAAGTGTATATGGAGCAACCCCGGGTGTTTTGTTGCTCAGGGGGAGTCTGGTATGGTTTGTAAATTGAACCGATCTCTATATGGGCTCAAGCAATCACCACGTGCTTGGTTTGGAAAGTTTAGCTCCATTATTCAAAAATTTGGGCTAAAACGCAGTGAAGCAGATCATTCAGTCTTTTATTATCATTCGTCTCCCGCGAAATGTGTTTACTTGATAGTATATGTTGATGATATAGTTATTACCAGGAAATGATGCTGCTGGAATATCTCAATTGAAGGAGTACTTGTGTAAACATTTTCAAACCAAGGATCTTGGGAGCCTCAAATACTTTCTAGGCATTGAAGTAGCTCAGTCAAAAGATGGAGTTGTAATCTCCCAAAGGAAGTATGCTCTGGATATTTTGCAAGAAACAGGCATGATTGATTGTAGACCGGTTGATAGCCCTATGGATCCAAATCAGAAATTAACAACAGAAGGAGGTGAATTATTCTCCGACCCGGAGAGATATAGGAGGCTAGTTGGAAAACTAATCTATCTCACTATTACAAGGCCGGATCTATCTTTTGCAGTTGGAGTGGTTAGTCAGTTTATGCAAGCTCCATGTGTTGGCCATTGGAATGCTATCATTCGAATTCTAAGGTATGTGAAAAAGGCTCCAGGGCAAGGGCTGTTATATGAAGAAAAAGGAAGCCTTCAAGTATCAGGATATTGTGATGCTGATTGGGCAGGTTCTCCTATTGATAGACGATCTACTACTGGATATTGTGTTTTCCTTGGAGGAAACATTATCTCATGGAAAAGTAAGAAACAAAATGTAGTGGCTCGATCAACAGCTGAAGCTGAATATAGGGCAATGGCTTCATTAACATGTGAACTTATATGGGTGAAGCAGTTCCTTCAAGAGCTTAACTTCTGTAACATCCAGAGTATGAAGATGTATTGTGATAACCAAGCTGCTCTTCACATTGCATCAAATCCAGTGTTTCACGAGAGAACCAAACATATAGAAATTGATTGTCATTTTGTTCGGGAAAAATTATTGTCAAAAGAAATATGTACTGAGTTTGTTGGATCAAATGACCAACTCGCAGATGTGTTGACTAAGTCGTTAAGGGGACCTCGGATTGAGTTTATTTGTTCCAAGCTTGGTACATACAATCTGTATGCTCCAGCTTGAGGGGGAGTGTTAGAATAATTATTAAGTCTACCTAGTATAGCAGGGCCTAAAGTAGGCAGTTGTGTGTTGGGGTATCTATAATGATTGTTCCTAGCAGTCTAGGACAATCTCTTCATCTTTCATCTATGTATTGTATCATATTTTTATCTATATAAATTATAGAACTGAGAAGGGTCTTTCAAGCCCTTTAGAACTATTTTTCTCTGTTTTAGATCTCAAGTATAGCAAAAGCAATAACATCCATACCTGGAGATTAATGACAAGGATAAATGGAAGCTTTTTCCCGGCTTCTGACTGAAATTCAGAAGGACAAGATATTAGACAATACAATGACATGAAATTGCCAATTTCCATATTAAATATATTTTTAGGGAACAAACATGTAACCTTATATATATATACATACATACATTGCAAAACCTTGTACATTAACAAAAAAATATTAAGAAATTTTCATCCTTTTTTTCTTAAATAACATGTTCAATGAAAACTGACCATCTTTCCCCAACCTTACTTTACAATAATCAATATGAATATTAAAAGATAGAATGTTAAAAATTTGACATTACCTGAACCAAACTTTTAGGGTGAAGGGCAATTCTATCTACAGATTTATCAACTGTTAACCAATCGACTCCTACAAGCTTGAGAAGAGGATCTCCTCCAACTACCTGCAAGACAAATTCTGTGTTCATGACATTTTGACCGACCCATAAAATCTGATATGAGATCAATCACACTATATGGAAAATTATATTTTAGAAGGAATCGGTTAACTGATTATAATTTTATTAGGAGTCACTAGATTTTAGGGTAAAGATGTGGATAAAAAAGAAAAGGCTTGTGAATTGTGACTTTAGAGTGGGGGAGTAAGACCTTTTTCTGGTTGAGGAACACTGTTACAGGACTAAGGCTCTCATGACATGCAACAATAAGTGGATTGGGTGTCGTTTCTTTTCATTACAGAAAAAATAAAGTAACAAGTACTTCATAATTATGTAAAAGTAGATTGAGATCTTTGCTGAAAACAGCAGTTCTAGAATTTAGAAATATTGACTTCCAAATTTACAAAAAAATAAGAATAAAGTCACAGTTCAAACCCCCAACATGCCCCAGTTTCAGGAACAGAAATAATTGTTAATTCGAAGGACACTAAAGTGCCTGCACACTACTACTGCACAATATCTAATCATCCAAGTTAAAGAAAAGATTTGGTGTACTTTTACTCTGTAATTGAATGACTCAAATAGTTTACTAACCTTAGAACTATCTTTAAGATAGTTCTTTCCTCTAATCATAAATCCTTTTCCAGTAGGAGAAGCCCAACAGTTTGTGTCATTGTCATCCTTTCCTTTCCATAAAGAACAATGCAAGTCACTTGGAATTGTGATAGGAGTTACATGAGGATCCAATTCTTCGCTGAGATCAGGAGCTGCATCCAATAATCAAATATATTATATTATAATTCCAAATGAAATTAAGTCATATGTAACTATAACCAGTTACTCACAAGAGAGAAGGCTTTATTCATTTTAACCTTAACCTTTTCTTTTACTCTTGTAAACTAGATATATAGACTGATTACATGTATTATCGCGAATTAAAACTCCTAAAGCTTAAGCCAACATGTGAAAGCACGTGAATAATTTTATATCAAACAAATTGACATGAATGTTGAAGAAGCAACTTAATTGACCTAAAAGGAGTATTTAGTGCAACAATGGAATATATTATTTTCTTGTAGTGGTGACTCAGACATTCCAGAAGGAGTTTGTTACATTTTTAGAATATATGGGGTGTGGGAATATTTCTGTTAGAGGGTCTTGGCACGTAGTGCTGATATGCTTCTAATTAGAGAGGTTTGAATGAATGAATGAATGGAAAACATTGAATTGTGCCTCATCAAATTTGGAGGGTATCCTACTCATCACAAATCCTATCACATGAGCCATTTAAGGCCTAACCCACCTTCTGCTAAAACTTTACTAGCATATGGAAGAATAGGGGTAAAAAAATTTCCACTCTTTGACTATATGCATGATCATAGAGGTTTGATATTGTGAATATTGTATGCAGGAGTAGCTATTATTTGATACAACAGGAACCTCATCTGGTTTGATGATCTATATATGCCTTGTGAGTGAAATAAAAGTAAGGTATATATAATGAGGTAAGTATAATAGGTAATTTGGGTTCGTATAGTATGAATTCTAACATGTCTGAGTTTTTTAATACTTAAGCATTTTGGCATTCATATCAAACCTAGTGTTGGTCCAAAATCCTGTTTAGTGGAAGGCCCCGCCCTGTTTTGAAATGTAATATAGATGGAAGAGTAAAAGGTGCATCTTGTCCAACAACTTGTGGAGGCATTTTCCAGGACAGTGCAACAGCACTCTTAGGATATTTTTTCTATTTTCCCTGGAATCTATTCATCCATTCATGCTGAAATCATGGAAGCTATTTAATCGGAAGATTTTGCTTTTGATAGAAGTAGTTTGGGATTGGAGAGTGTTTCCATAAAGGTAGTTCAACCGTTTCAGAACGATCAGATTGTCCCTTGACATTTGTGGTCTAAGTGGCATAATGTGAGTTTAAATGTAGTGATCATTTTAAATACGTTTCTTATATGCATAGGAAAGAGAATCATCATGTTGACAAGTTTGCTGGCTATGCTATTAGAGAACGCTGTAACAAGTGGTCGGATAATATTCCAGAGTTTCAAAGGTTTGAATTTTTTAGGAATATATATATATATATATATATATATATATATAACACTACCTTGGGAGTCACCATTCAGTTAGATGTTCCGTTAGTAGTTGTTAACATTAGATAATTAGTTCTGCCAACTGTTGCCTGGCCTCTACGTAACTGCTATGTCTTCTGGTATATGTTCTCATTTATATCTTCTCTCCCAGAATGAAAAAATAAAATTACAGAGCTATTTTCTCTCTCTCTCAAAATTCTCTCTATTCCTATTCTAATATGTTTATCACGAGCTCAATAACAGATCCTTCTCCCTCCTCTTCCGTGCCCTTTGCTTTCTGTCATCAGATTCCAGATAAACTTTCAAAGAAAAATTTCAATTGTGGAGGCAACATTTTATGGATTCTTTTAATTTCACCAGTTTCTAATGGACACTAATCGTGAAGTAGGAAAAATGGATCCAGCATATCTATGTTGGGAACAACAAGATCAGATGTTATTATCATGGCTCCATATACTCTTCATCAACGAGTCAATTAGGAAGAAAGTTTCGTGCTACTATTCTTGAAGATAAAAAGATAGATGAATATCTTCTTCAAATCAAGCCACTCCTTGATGTTTAGCTTTGGTCACTCCTTGAGAGCATCTGAATGTCATTATTGAAGGATTACATGAATAATACAGCCCTGCCATTGCAGTAATTGGATTCTTCTGATTGAAGAAGCTGAAGTGCTAGTTCTTGTGTGTCAAAAAGATGAATATTGATGCACCCATCAACTTCACACAATATCAATAGTTGAACCCTAATAACAATTATAACCAGTAGTTCAATTGACTAAATCATCTAACCTTCTCAGTGAAACACTTTTGACTTTAGATACATATAAATCTTACGGTGACTCTCTTAGTGGTTTATTGTGGTAGTTTTCGTGCCCTCTGGTAATTTTTGCTTTCTGACATCCACTGCCCTTTTATCACTTTTTGTTTTCCAGTAATTGTCGTGTACCTTGATCATTGTTTGCTTTTCAACAACTGTTGTGTCATCTACCCATTTTGCCTCTCTAGCAACTGTCATGGCCTCAGACCATTTTTAACAAGCTTAATGATATAATACAATGCTCCACCTTAAAGGGGGTAAAGGTATGATATGAAAGTACAAAGCATATAGAAGATTGGTTGTCACATTGACAGAGAGAAAGTCATGTCCCAAAAATATATATATTAGCTTTGTTATATTTACTTTGTTAGCTCTAGCAACCAATTGGTTGACATGTTGACTTAGTCTCTCAAGGGTCTTATGTTGATGACATTTTAAAAGTTTCATCTCATATGATACATATGCTCCAACTTGAGAGAAGTGTTAGTAATATGATTACATTAAATTAAATAGGAAGATATGATATAATTTGACAGGGAAATATCTAATCAAATATTTCTTATAGTTCAATATTCATTTTGTTACTTATTATTGCATCTCTTCTTTATTATCAATAAAAATAAAAACATAATTTATTATCTTCCTTCTCAGTTTCTCTCTTCTCCACATGGTACTTCATGGCTTGTTGTTGCCCAAAATTATCAAGTGTCTCTTTCACACTTTTAAAAGATAGAAGATATCGAAGAGATAAAAAACAATAGAAAGGAGACAAACAATGACAACTTAGAAAACTATAAACAGGATCGAAATCAAAGTTACGTGTAGAGCAAGTATCTTTTCAAATGACAATAGACCAACTAGAATCTTCATTATCAAGAGTTGTAGTATGAACAATGATGGTGAAGGACTTGAAGAGGACTCACCATCTGGAATTGGACAAGTCATTTGAGTTTGTTGTTGGTAGGTGATAAAATAAAGGGGTGATGGTCTAGGTGAACTAGGTTGAGGAGAGGAATTTGGATTATTGAGAGAAGTTGGAACGGTGTTAGGAATAAAATACACAAAAAGTTTCAACTAAAGGCATAGGCAAGACTGGTTGGACAAAGTTAACATCTTGTGTGGAGGAAGAAAAGAAAAAAGTTTCTATAAAAAGGTGACACTTGCAAACATGCAATATTTTTTAGTATTAGGGAAATAACATTGATATCCTTTTTAAAACAACTGAATATCCTAAGAAGACACATTAAATAATTCAGGCTAAGTTTGTCCAAACTTTGAAACACATTGTGTACAAAACACACCCAACCAAAGACTCGAGGAGAAATGTGAAATAGAGATTCATTTGGAAACACAATGGAAAATGAAACTTCATTGTCCAAAGAAAAATAGGACACTCTGTTAATAAGATAACAAAGAGTAAGAATGACATCACCCAAGTGATGGATAAGTATATTGGCACAACCCATAAGGTACGAGCAATTTCAATTAAATGTTTATTTTTTTCTCTTATAGCATTTTGTTGAGGTGTATGAGGATCGATGGATTGTAAGTTGACAATACATGCTAGATCAAGTGGTCGTTGGCAAAAAGGTAGTGGCAGACAGTGGTGACGACAACAAATCACAACATTCATTGTATCTCTGAGACGAACCAAACTAGGTCTTCGTAAATAAATAAATAAAATGACCATGGAGAGATGGCAACATAGGACGATAGTGGGCGATAGTGGACAATTGCAAAACAAGCAAAAACACGATTGACTCGCTTCGATACCAACTTAAGACCAAAAGGATGATGAAAAAGGCTTAAGAGATTGATTATACCTTAGCTGATCCATGTTATTTATAGAAGAAAATTACATCAGGAATCCCAAGAGTGTACAAGGAAAAGGCTATATTTGGGTAATTAATGCTAATAAGCCAAAAACAGCCTTTTAGGACAGACTTCTTAACCTGTCTAAACAAGTTACATAATCAAGATAAATTATTCTAGAAAAAGTGATGACAAAAGGTGTGCTGACATAGCCTTTCACTTGCTTGAGTTTGGTCCATGTATTTTTCAAATTTGTGATATTGATCATTGTATTAGCATAACATTTAACATTTAAAAAATTAAAACAAAATGTTTATTCTTAGAGTTTAACCCATGACCGAGAGTGAAAACAAGGAATAAAATCAATACAACACCTAGTGCATTTGATACAAGTATGACAACTACTACATGTAGAGTTTTATTAGAGGGCAAACACCAACAAGCCTTGCATTGTTGTCTTGTTTATTAAAATATTTCTACCAATAACAAACTATTTAAATTACCTATAAATATTTTTTACTTATTATTTGCAAAAAAAAAATAAAATCAAGGGTTGGTTGATTCTCCTCTTTTATTGGTCCATTGGGCCTTATATGTCGAAGCTATGGGGTTATCCTACTCATGGAAATGGCTATCTCCAAGAGATGGACTATATGAACTATGGATTGGATGTGACTGCTGATCATTCAAGCTTTTCATAATAGTAATTTGATTCCAAGGCAAATTAGATAGATAGCTTAATTGTATGGAGAACAATATACATATGCTTCTACATTTTACTCATATCTGTATGGGGAGGACAACCAGTGTGTTGATAAGCTTGCTGATTATGGTACTTTATCTCGGGGTTTCATTTGGTGGGATAATATTCTTGGATTTCTAAATCTAGAGAATTTTAGAGATAGGTTTTCTCTACCTTGCTTAGGTTTTGGTTTGGTCCCCAAGCTTTTTTTGTATTGCTTTTCTTTTTCTTCAATGATAGTCTAGGGTGCTGCAAATATTGATGTTATTTGTGGTGCCAAGATACTTGGGATGACAAACAACAAAGTGATGCTACCTTTTTTATTTCGATAAATTGAAAAAATATTTTTTTTTTAAAGTTAATGGGTGCTGATAGATTTTTCTCAACCCGTCAATATGGGAAAATTTTTGCACTCCAAGAGGGCGTACTCCTTCCATTATAAAACTGACATGGCTGGTATGTTTTTACTATTTTTAAGTTGTTTGAGATAAAAAGAGAAATGTGTTGAGTTAAGAATAATTACTGCCATAGGAGTGAGTACTGTAGGAATACATAAAATTTAATCTACTAAAGGTATTTTTGAGTACATTCTCAGTGTTTTGAGGAGTGATCAAAGTTCATGTTGTATAAGGAAATGTTCATTGGAATGATTGGATAGTCTAAATAACTAGAGCATTGTACGTAGAGAATTTTATTATAGTTTCTCTTCCTTTTCCCCTACCAAATAACAAATAACAAGGTAAAACGTACCAGCAGTTCGCTTTAAAGCTAATGTTGTGATTGCCCATGAAATATTCTTTAGCTTGACTCTTGGCTCCTGATAATTTGGAAAATGTCATTAAACAATAGAACTTAACAAAACTCAAATGACACATATTTCTACTGTAGACTACTTTTATAGCTGATAGGTGTAGAATCAGGAAAACCTGCGGAACAAGTTTTTGATCATCATCACTTTCTTCATCTGATGTTGACGAATCAGCAGTAATTGCATCATAAAACTCATCCTGCATTTCATCCTCACATTCAGCACTAGAAATAGAAGCATCAGAGATTTTGGAATGAACAACTGTGGTGGCATTTTCATGGTGCAGTGCAGGATTGGCAGCAATGTATTCCTTCAGACCTGACCCATTGTTTAGAAGCATATATATTAAATGCCTCCAGAATGGTATTCATGGGCAAAATGCATGAGAAAAAAAAGGCAGACCAACATTGAATCGTGAGAAACTTCCTTTTTCTTGTTTTGAAATAGAATATATTACTTTATAAAAGCAACAGTTACTTTTGTAAAGATAGCTATTGGGTTTAGAGCAAATAATAATGCTAATTCCATAGTTTGTTGTTTCTACGATGTTTGAAGGAGGAAAACTTGTTATAGCCGGAAACTTTGCTGTTCAGGACAGTACAAGAATAATTAGTTGAAATTAAGTGTTATGTCAGTATTCAAACTCATGAAGCCAACAGTATCTTCCTGTTAGTTAATGATTTAGTTTACAATCATGTGATAATTAATAAATTTGTGGAGTTCAATCTAATCTTAATAGCTTTGTCACATGACAAATAATTTATGGACTCCAGCCTGAATGGTTTCAAGGGTCATAGGTTCTGTGTTGAACAGTACACTTGCATGCTGAAATTTAGATAAAATTGAGCTTTCACTTTCTTCCCCTCTGGTGTGATTCCAAATTCTTAAGGTCTTACCAAAATGGGGTCAGATCTCAACTACTCAGATTCATTCCTAAACCAAGAAGTTAATATCCCAACCCGGTATTCTCTTCTCGCTGAATCTCATCCTACACTATCAAAAAGAAAGCTTTTCCTCCGTCCCTCTCATGCTTTTCCTTTTCCTGATTCTTCCAAATATCCCCAATCAAAAGAAAGAAATAAAGACGGAAACTGGTCATTTATGTCAGAATAATGTCTTCGGTATCATGTTACAATTAACAGGCCAGCTTTTCTCACTGATCGAGAAAGAATTCAGAACTACATCAAAAGAAGCCTATTTAAACTACGAAGACGAGTACAAGCAAGAGTTTAGATAACAAAATTTTGAAAATCTCAACTCAAGTGCCAATCATTCTAGAAATTCAGAGAAATATATAAGATAAAAACAATGGTGCAAATACTTAACCTGCCACTTGGAACAATAATGCATGTGGAATGCTCCTCTGAAATTTTGAGTTCTGGTTATTCTTCCATCGACACCAGGACGAAGAGTTTATCTCTAAAGTGTGGGTCACTAAACATCTTGGGCTATTTGATGCCCCAGATGTGCTCAAATTTCTAATCTCCCATGAAGTTGCTGCAGCCAAAATGCAACCCATAAGGTGATAAAACTAGTCAAAGCTGAAAAATACGTCAGTGGTCATATTTTCTTTCTTTTAATCAGTCCCTAGAGTCTAAAGTTGAAGTAAGAGAAATGATTCCCATCATATAGAAATCAATACACCCTCCACAAATGTGTGAAATTAATGTGGATACCACTAAATACCACCAAGCACCACTTATCAATTCCAAGGATTTAATGCAAAAGGTTATATCTTACGATTAACTTTTGCACGTCGATATCCGTGTATTGGGGGCTTCTTCTTGTGTATAGCTGGACATTGCAAGATAGCTGCAAGAATTAAATATATAAGATATTTCAGCATATATTTGTCAGAGTATGTTTAAAAAATACAACATGGTGATCATCTAAATCAAGGTCAGACAAACTGCCATAACAGTACCAAAATTATTAATTAAAAAATATATGTTACGTAAAAAAGATATGGATACAACGCCCAAAAATAAAAGAAATTTCCAGTGGATTAGTAATATGTATACGCTTTGTATTCAGCAATTAAATGAAATGCACAATACTACTGTTACAAAAGGTCCAAGCAAGCAATCACTACAATCATATTCTTACTATATGTTCCATCTTGTCCACGAAACCATTGTCTAGAGAAGACAAAATCCTGCTTTGAGTGCCACCTGAGTTAAAAGTTAATTCAGTGAACATTATAAAAAGTAAATAATGGTTAATTGAGAATAATTATAATAAAACTTGCTTTTCTATTCATTGATGAAAAACAAAAATTATAAGGCCATTGGGGAGAAGAGAGAGATGTCATGAAACTGTAGATAATTGGCAACTAAAATTTCGTCACTAACAACTATATAATGGACTGACACACACCCAAATAAGTAAGCTCGTCCTAAAGAATAATTTAGCAGAATGAAAACCTAAGACAATAGAAAACCAAATTAGTCAGGCTCACAAATCTTTATCGTTGAAAAAATCAACACATGATAAATCTCTATCATTGAAAAATTCACACAAATTAGATAGCACATGTATATGAAGAATTTAGCAGAAGGAAAACCAAAGTCAACAGGGAAATCATATTAGCTAAGCAAAGAAATCTTCACCATTGAAAAAAGTCCACAAAAATGAGAAATCTCTGTTACTGAAAAAATTCACACAATAATGAAATTTACAGCACATATATTACAGCAATCCAATCTCTACAATGCTATAACTTTTCAAATTTGAAAATATTAACATCAATAGATTACCGAGATAGATACTTAGAATCATATGTCCCATAAACAACATCGTAGTGTCCATCATAAGAATCTACAAGTTCCAAGTCGCATATCAATGTATCCCACCTGCAAAAGTAATCATACAAGAGAATAATTTCCTTAATATGATATCAAGACACTTAAGCACCTTCTATAGGAAACTTACTCATATCTTTTCTGTTGGTCAGTGTTCAAAATAACTTCAAAAACAGTATCTGCAGTTGCATCAATCACACCAACAGACTTTGCAAGGACAGTCTTACCATTCTACAAAGCACCAAAAATGGCAAATCAGAAATCAGACTTATTTATCTGCCCTGTCATAGGGAACCAAAGCACCAATCTCAGATGTTGTAAATATAACATAAAATAGGAACGAAGCAACACAAGGAGCATATGATAACATTTTACATATTAACAAAACTAGTGAATCAGTCAACGAGATGACTCATTAGCATAAAAAGAAAAAGTTCTGAAGATGTATAAGGTATTTATTGAGAGAACTTTTTTATTAATGATAGCCATTTAGGTTATCATATAAAGGACAGCATTGCACATAAAGGTGTCTTTTAAACTTTTATCAATAGAACAAAAATATAAAACCAACCTTCTGAAAATATAATGGCATTACTCATACAGATCCGAGCAGATACTAGTATACCACTACCCAGAACCTCTCAATGTAAGACACAAATTCATAATAGGAAGAACACAGACAAACTATTCCAAAAGCAAAAAAAATGGAGTCTCAAAATAAATAAATAACACTTTTTGCCATAAGCAATATCCATATATTCCTTTTATTTATTTATGAGGTCTATTTGATTTTGTAAAATGAGTTAATAAAGTTGTTCCTGATAACTAGAAATCAATGTTGAACCTATAAGCAACGGATGCAGGTAGACACACACCCATGCACTAATTGTATTAAACAAGGCTAGTATACAGTAGCTTCAATTTATCCCAAGCCTTTTTTGCTGTGCTGCTAGCTCTGAATTGTTGGTATTTTCAGTTAGTCATTAGTTTCTATTAGAGATTGTCAAGTCTGTGATAACACAACAGTAACAAATAGTAATTGATTCTGTTTTATCAGTTACCCTTTCTTTCCTATATATATATATATATATATATATATATATATATGCTTTCCTTTGTATAGGTTTAGTGAGTATTCTTTGTATTGACAATAATTAGATATATAGTTTTCTTTCTATCTTCTATCTCTCGATCCTCTCTATCTTACATGGTAATAAGAGTTGATACCATGGCCTCTGAAAATTCTTCTTTTGCCCACAACTCTAACACCTCCCCTGTTACTTCCTCCTACCACCCTCACACTTTCAACATACCGATCTCTCTCAAGCTTACAACTGAAAATTTCTTCAGCTGACAACAAGAAGTGCTTGCCACAATCAAAGGACTGCAACTTTTCAAGTTCTTGGACGGTCAAGAAACTCCACCAAAATACCTCAATCACGATGACACCCTTCACAACATTATTAATCCCACATATCTCCAATATGAGCAACAAGATCAACTCTTAATTATTTGTCTTCTTACGTCTATGGACACATTTGTTCTCACCACTGCTTCTCAAATCTAGAATAAGCTGCATGTTTATCACGCATCCCAATCAAGAGCGAAAGATAAAATCCGGAAAGATTCAACTTTGTACACCTAAAAATGAGAGAACTGATGCCACCTATCTTCTTGATATCAAGAAGAATGTTGATACCCTGGCTGTCATCGAATCTCCTCTAACCACAGAAGACCACATTGAAGCCATTCTTTATGGCCTCTCAGAAGACTATGAAAGCTTTGTTACTTCCATCCTCACACGCACTGATCCTTGTACCATTGAAGAAATAGAGGCTTTACTTTTGCCCCAAGAAGAACGTTTGGAGAAATACAAAATTGTTAACTACCTGTCATCAACATAACAGTTATTTCTGGTCCTAATAACTCCTATAGAAACAAAAGTTCTCAATACTTCCAGAGGAATAACAGATCCACTAACCACAATAATTCGTCTTTCAAGAATCAACAATCAACAACACAAAGAACTTTACAAGAAACTCTTGGCAACAGCAAAAACCAGTGTCAAATTTTGGGAACGCCTTCTACTCTAAGTGATCCTTTGTGGTGTCCGAATAGTTGTGCCACACATCACATAACACCTGACTCAAATAATATTACGACCGAGAATTCCTACACTGGAAATGAAAAGATCAAACTACGTAATGGAATGGGTATGTCTATCTCTCACATTGGCTCTACTGTTTTTCACAGCCCCACACATAAATAGTTATTTTTTAGAAAATCTTTTGCATGTTCCTCATAATTCCAAGAATTTAATTAGTGTTTCTAAATTTGCCTAAGATAATCATGTATATTTTGAATTTCACTCTAATATATGTCTAGTTAAAACTCTGGAAACAAACAAGATCATCCTTAAAGGCTTCCTTAAAGACATCTTATACGTTTTTTACCCCCCTTCGCTCTTCTCCCATTGTCAATGTTAATCATACTTATGTAAATTTTGTAGTTTCTTTGTGACATTCTCATCTTGGTCATCCTTCTTATAAAAATGTTCAAAAAATTTTAAAGCATAACAATATTCATGCTCAACAATAAAGCTTTTTCTGCTGTTTCCTGTGATATGTGTTCAAGCCAAAATGCATCAACTTCCTTTTTCTAAATCTGATAGTCATATAATACTCCTTTAGAATTGGTTTACAGTGACATATGGGGAACTGCTCCTATGCCTACCTCTAATGGTGCCAAATATCACAACCTTTTTAGATGCTTATTCTAAATTTACTTGGATTTATCTTCTTCATTCCAAATCTCAAGTTTCTGCTATTTTCAATCTCTTTAAAACATTTGCAGAAAATCAAACAAATCACTAATTAAAGGTCATTCAAACTGATAATGCTAAGGAGTTTTAATATAACAGTATCACTCTATCTTATAGTCTCAATTATGTGTGTATGTGTATCAGAACCTTGTGATGTCATTCACTCTCTTTTCTTTCTCAGCTAAACTCCATCAAGTGACTTATGCTGCTAAGCTTTAAAGGAAAATATCAACAAATAAACAAGTGTTGGATGATAAATTAATCACGGATGAGACAAGTGTTATATTATACTATTACAACTCATGTTAGACTAACAGAGTGAATGGAAAGCTAACTAATTTTCAAGAAATAAATTAATAGTCAATATTGCCCAAGTCCTCTCCTGCCCAAAGAAGTGAATTGTATAAGGATAGATTCAGAAACCTTGTGATCAGAAACATCCTCAAAAATTCTAATACCTGAAATCACAAACAAAAGAAACATCTAAATATATAAGGATAGATTTAACTATAACTTTTTCTAATGAAACTAATGTAAATAAGTATTACAAGTGGAAAAAGCTAGTAAAAGCATATTTGTTTGTATCAAGAGTTTGACAATCAAATCATTCAAAGAAAAACAAGGTTATTGGTTACTGAGCATGAGCTTATTGGTTATTAGGCTACTGGAAAAAAACAAGACAGAATTGCAATAGACTACAAAATAATGCAAAACAGAAGAAAATTACCAGCCAAAGTAAAAACGCATTTCCATTGATGTGCTTCAACTGCATCGCCTCCATCCCCTTCAAACCCATCTGTTCTGGACAACTTTGATGATTGTCGTAACAATTTTTCCGGGCCTTTCAAAAAGAACGCAAGAGTAAATTAGCTAGTAATATAAAGAGAGAAGCATACAAGATATAGAATGCTAATGTAGCAACTCCTCCATAATTATAGAATTTAGAAAAGAAACATGGAATTCCTTGCAAAACTAATATATCACTGATTTAGAATCACACTTACTGTCACCCTCACAATTTTCAATGCAAATTGCTAATGTCAAATTTTACTCCTTTTGAAATAGGAATAAAATAGAGGGTTTTATGTCACCGGGATTAACTAAATCCGTGATTTATTTCTTCTTTATTAATTCCTCTATAGTTTCTCTACAATATTTACTTGAACAGATAGGCACAAATTTCTACTCAAAAGTTTCTTTTTATTTTAAAATGGTTTACAGGATATTTTTGTCATTTTCTTATGCTCTTCAAGCCACTATTCAGTTAGAAAAAGTGATTTGTGGTAGGATCTCTCTAATCTATCTTCTCAGATTTCAGCTCCATGGTCCTTTATTGGTGATTTTAACATTGTGCCAGGGAGTCATGAGTATAGAGGTAAAAGTTATCCTTCTCCTTTGGCTTGCAGGGAGTTCCAGGACTAGTTTGATCAGAATTCTCTAATTAACTTGTCTTCATCTGGCAGTCAGTTTACTTGGACCAATGGCCACTTTGGGAATTCTAGAACTGATAAGAGGCTGGATACAGATGTTTGTAATACTGATTGAATAAATTTCTGATCTACAGCTCATGAAGAAAGTAAATCACAAATTTAAATAGATGTCCTGTTGTACTCCTCAAGAAACATAACAGGTAGAATATGTCATCCAAAAGTACTCCACGATGAATCTCATGATTGGGTTTTTTTGTACCTTGGCCAATTCTTATAAGCTTCCTCAAACCATGGGCATATCGCCTCACTCTAGGTCGATGTCCTTCAAGATTGATCCTTCCATAACATAAAGAGCAATTATATGTTAATTTGTGTAAAATTATCTAATAGAAGAAGAGTGTCTAAGACAGAACATAACACCTAACTATGCTCACATAAACTGGGCAGGTCTTTCATTAATCGTAACTCTCATATATATATATATATATATATATATAACACAAACAGTAAAAGTTAACTCTAAGCAGTATTTCTTGAAAGTATTTAGAAGTAAACAATTTTCTTAAATTTTATTATAAAAATAATGAAAATAAAAGAAGAACACATGTGATTTCAAGAACCAAAAGCATTGAATCCCCTGCCATTATGTACGATACAACACTATTAGTCAGTGTGGCCAACAAGACAATTAAAATAATGTTATTCTTTGAGACTTGAATGCGCAAATACATTTCAAAAGAGGGAGCATACTCGTTCTCCATGTTTAGTTTGTCTCTGGCACTAATTCCTTTTGACAGCTCAAGCTCGGCCTACAAAGTGCATATATCCAATAAATTAAAATTGTTCACAAATTATGCAAAATGTCATATAGTTTTATGACATCCCAATTCTTTCAGATAGCAAACAACTACTTCCGCCTTCTTTACATTAAAGGGAAACATGTTCGAAATTTCAAAAAAAAAAAAAAACCCTTCATATCCAAGCCCCCTGCCCCAGAAATAAATTTCAATCTCAATCAGACTTGGGTTTTAATAATACTTACTCAAACCAATAACAAAGGCAATGCTCAAGTTATAAACACAAACCTCGCGTTATTGTTTCATACCTGTTGCTTAGCCTGATCAAATGCTTCCATCCATCCCCTGGCCTCCCCAGCTGTAGCGCAAGCAATCTTGAAGAAAATAAACACGCAAAAGAAACTTATATTATACTACAAAAGGACAGAAAAAAGTATAACACCCATGTCATGAGGGAGCTCATTAGATTTTAAATTGATAAGCTCTGCAATACAGACATAAATTTGCATTCCAGTGCAATTGTTGAATCAAGAAACTCTTAGAAAATGGACTTAAATTTAACTTAATCCTATAAAATCGATTTATAAAGTAGAGTTTTCAACCGAATTGTATAATGGATTTTGCAACTACTTATATATTATAATTTAATCCTATCTCTATAAGATGTGGGATTTCTAATACGCCTCACATTAACATCTTGCATGTGAGACTATATATTTATTAGTGACCTCCCTATCACTAGGTGGATCTTGTGGGTTTCTTGCAATTATTGCTTGTTCAGGTATTAATAAATTCCTACTCTAACACGATACCTGAAAAGTGTAACTAGAGGAAAGAAATTTACATCAATCTTGGTTAGAAAAAATTAAAAAAGAATTACACACATTGTGCTACCGCTTAGAAAGGTGTGTTCTGTTTTACTGTTTTTCTTTTCAAAAAAGAAAAACTTGAAAGCAACAAAAATTATATTTTCTTATAGAAACATATGATATGCAGCTTTTACAGTCTACAGAAGATGGAAGTTTGTCCTTCTGTTTTATACTCAGCAGAGTATTATAATAAGTTACAAGATCAATCATGAATTCTTCTAAGCTGTTGTGCATGTTAAAAAACTTAATCGCATGCAGACAGATGTAGTTATCAATCACTACCAATCATCACCAATTATTTGAATAAGCAATTCAAAAACATAACTTACATCTCCTTTTTTGGTCTCATCTAATCGATTGTAAAACCGTAAAACATAAAGATCCTGGGGAAGAAAACAAAAAGCATTTAGCTCCCATCAAATTTAGAACGTAACAGGACATGCATGTACACAAAAGTCTTGAGATTTTTATCCGTCAAATGGAGAATATTCCATTAAAACTAATGCATAATCAGTTTAATTTCATAGCTACAAGTAGTATTTTACCCCATTGTTGACCTTTCGACGACCTAGCTCCTCCACCATTAGCGTGGGTTCAACAACTCCCCGCCTAATTGGTTTCTGCAACGAGGAAACTTTTATCATTAACAAATTTATTGTTGAAGAAACAGAGATAAAAGTTCCTCATCAGAAAGAGAGAGAGAGAGAGAGAAAGAGATAAAAAGCCAAGGTGAAAGATGATTGAAACGGCGTTATTATCTACATTTAAAAAAAATAGTAAATAAAATTATTAAAAAATTATTGAAACAAACTAGTATGTACGCTCAATGAAATATGACTATTAATGTACCAAAACAAATATTTTCTTTTATACACAAAAATGCAAGGAATGGCAACGACCCTGCTTAGCCCTTTAGTATTTCATCTTGCCAGTTGAGTCTTCCTCCTCTCTATAACAGAGCCTTCTTAAAATTGTCATTTATCTGTTTTACTTGTAAATTTGAAGAGTAGTTGTTCTAATCATGATTTCAGTTTAGGTTATATCTAGATTAGTGGTAGACATTGGAATGAAATAGATCAGAGATTGCTTTCCATGGTTTGAGAAAATGAAAATGGACTACAACTTTTTAATAGTATCTTTATTTTAAACATATATTTTTAAAAAAACTGATGATTAGGTGAAAATTTGAAAGATAAAACAGTCATTTTATAATCTAAAAAAAAATTGAGAACGAAAATAGTGGAACGTCTTCCGCATCCACTCCATCCCTCTCCATTCCACAGATATAAGATAGAGCAATGCTACAAAATCCCTCCAGCACAAACGAAACTAAAATCGAACAAATTCGACATGAAATTATATCTGGTGGTAATCAGCTAAACACAGCATCATTAGCCTACGATCCCTTGCTATCAAGTTTTAGGAAACCGAACGTAGCATAGCGCAATCCACAATCGCATATCACGGCGGTAAATACATTATGTATTTCAATCAACATTCGTACTTAATTAATATCACCATTCCACCATCGAAACTATAATTAATCCATCAAACTACAAAACTCTTGGTTCTTCATCCTAAAACGATTCTCAATTTCAAATCAGCAGCAGCAACATTAATCGTATGAAGCTTCAATAAACTGATTCCAATTTCTATTATACTCTAAAGCAAAAAGAGTGCAATTATACTACTTCGTTTTGATCGAAACAGTAAAAGAAGGTTTGAAGAAAAGGAGAGGAATCATACGATGCCAGGGTTCTCGTGAGGATCACGCTTGTACATGGCAACATACTTTCCCCTGATGAAGAGGAAACGGAGATGACAATACTCGTGGCCAATGGAATTGACTCCCAAGTGATAAACCCAACCAGAGTACTCAAATATCCCTCCTCCTCCTCCGCTGTCATCGCTCCGCTCCGAACCTCCGCTCCCGGACTTGTTCAGCTCCGAACCTGTTGCTACAGCGTCCATTTCACGCTGCCGCTGCTGCTGCTGCTGCTGCTGCACCACACACGTGATCTCCCTCGGTATCTCGGATTCTTCTCACTTGTTTCGTTATCGTTATTACGTGCCTTAATGTCTCCAGTTAAGAGATTAATCACACAGTTGGTTTTCGTTGTGACACGCGCCCAATGTTGGGTAGGCTGGTGGGGCCCAGTTTACGTTGGGGATGGTGAGGTACGAGCTGGTATAAGTTGAGCTGACCGTCAAAGTTGTCATTATGCCACGCCAGGCCAAACGCGCTTCACCACGCGCCATTGCCAGTTGGAGGATGCCTCTTGCCACTCCCAATCTGCCACCTGTAAGTTTTCGCTTTTTAGATTTTTCTAACTTTTTTTTTATTGGTTAAGGGCGTAGTTGTCTGTTACTACTTTATTACGTCTGAGTGATTTCAAAAAGTAAAATAAATATACCTATCATAAACTTATTCATTAAGGAATGCTTACTTTGCCAAGGATGGTTTTCAAAAAATACATCCCGACCAAGTATGGAGTTAAAGTTAGGTTGTTTAGTTCAGAAAATTATTCTAAAAATAGTCAAACTTATTATTTTTTATCTAACTCTTTTTTCCTTTCCAAACAGAGAATTGAATTGTATTTTATACTCTTAAATTAATTATAAAATCAATAAGGTTTTAAAATTACACAAATTCTTCTTGTTTTTATAGCCTTATACTGATCCCTTTAATTGTAAAAAAATTACCAACAATAAGCATTTATACTTAACACCTCATACTAACATATAAATTCACCTATCATCAAAAGTCTACATCTTCAACTGTTTTCATTCCAAACATGTGCTTCGTTATAGAAATAAATAATCGTTTTCAATTCACTATGCATCATAGTATGACAATATCTGAGTATAAAAAGTGGCTAAATACAACAATTCAATTAAATATAATTAATTGCAAGATTTTAAATT